CATCACCACCAACATCATCACACCATCACGTAGCATACCAAACTAATTCACACCATAGCTTAACATAACATAATAGCGCACACCATACTTTATCGTCGTGCAGCACACCAGAACGTACCATAACAAAAAACCATCATAGCATGGCATTGCATACAATAGCGCATGATCTCATACCATAACATACCATGACAACATTACATCATTTGCCATACCATAACATGAGACGGACGAGGGATGACGCGATGCGTGAGTGAGGAAGTTGGCGCGGTCGCATTGATAACAATAGCCCAAATATGTGGATAGAGGGGGAACAACGCACACCATAACTTAATATGCCATCGCATAACGCAAAACAATGTCATGCCATAACTTACCATCACATAACAAACCATACCATCAAAAACATTATCATGCCATAGCACAACCCAATATATCATATCATAGCAACAAAAAGCACACCACATCATACCATCACGCGCAACGTGCCACACCATGAAATGATAAGGAAGAGGGAGGGGGGGAGGTGAGGGTGAGGAAGTTGGCGCGGTGGGAATACTAACAACATCCAGCCTCTGCAGATGGGGAATTACTCACTGCGTGGAGCCCTCAATATGTGCGTCTCACACTCCTGTCGCTTCTCGCTGACGAACTCTATCTGTGAGCATCTGGGTGTGAGGGCGAGCCGGCGTGGACGATGGGCGCGACACCGACACCGACACCGACGACTTCAATGACTTCAGAGGGCAAATTCCAGGAGATATGGGGGAAGCACAAGTAACAGATCGAGGGGGTTTTGGACCACCGAAGGGGAGAAGACTGAACGAATCTGAGCATGAGCGATCCGAGTGTGTGTGTGTGTGAGTGAATCTGGGTATGACTGACCCCGTGTATGGTTGAGTGCGCGTGCCAGGTGTCTAGATATGGGGGAGTCTGAATACGAGTGGGTCTAGGAATGCGTAAATCTGACTATGAGTGAATCTGAATGAGAGTGAGTCTGAGTGTGAGTAGGTATGGGTGTGAGCGAATAGGAATACAACGGGTACGAATCTGAGTCTACATGGGTCTGCGTACGAGTGAGTCTGACTACGAATATGAGGGTGGGTGGGTCTGAGTGCGAGTGATCCTGAGTGTGAGTAAATCTGGATGCGAGTGTTTCTGAGTATGGGTATGATGACTACGATACCGAACATGGGTGGGTTTGAGTACGAACGAATCTGACTACGAGTGAGCCTGAGGGTGAGTGGATCTAACCGTGAGTGAGTCTGAATATGCGCAGGTCTGGGTGTGAGTGGGTCTTGGTATGCGTATGATGAGTACGAGTTTCAGTATGAGTGTCTGAGAACGAGTGAGCTTGAACATAACTGAATCTGGGACGTCCTCGCAATCTGGGTCCCCGTGGGGTGCGAAACCCAGCGCTTCGCCAGAGACATCCTCATAATCTGCGTAGAGCCCAGACGAGCCTGGCTAGCAAAATAAGCAAGCCGCTCGAGACATCCTCCAAATCTGTTTCGAAAGCGCAGGATGTTGCGGCCTAAGACAGGCACCCCGCTCGAGACATCCCCGCCATTTTGGCGCGAACGGAAGACTGCAATACCCCCTGGCGGCCCCCTCTTGGGGGCGAAAACCAGCGCCTCGCTCTGGACATCCTCAACATCTGCTCCGAAAGAGGAGGATGTTGCGGCCACAAAACAAGCAAACCGCTCGAGACATCCCCGCCATTTTGGCGGGAACCGAGGAATGCAATATCCCCTGGCGGCCCCCCCCTTCGGTGGTACTGAAACCCGCGCCTCGCTCGAAGCATCCTCAGAGAATTTGCTACGGCATCATCATCATCATCATCATCATCATCATCATCATCATCAACATCATCATGATCGTCATAATTGCCCTAATCATCACCCTAATCATCACCATCGTCATCATCATCATCACCTTCATCATCGCCGCCACCATCATAGGATAACATGGCATGCAATAGCACATATATATATATATATATTCAACACCATACAATAGCACAACACATCATATCATAACATACCATAGCATGCCATACCCTAAAAAAAAAGGGCGCGCCGCTGGATGACCCCAAAGGGGGGGGGTTGGGACCCCCCCCCCCTTTCCCCGATCCGTCGTCGGGAACCCCCCCCCTCCCCCCCTTGCCATCCGTCGTCGGGGAACCCCCTCCTCCCCGCATTTCCCGGTCCGCCGTCGGGGACTCCCCCCCCGCCTCCCCCCCTTTCAAAGTGGGTGGGGGGGGGCGACCCCTCCCCCCTCCCCCTTTGGCCGCCAAATTCGAGCACCCCCCCCCCCCCCCCCCCCCCTTTCGCCACGGCGCCCCCGGTCTCCGGAACCCGACCCTTACCACCCCGATCACTAATCCTCACCCTTACCCTGGCCCCTACCCCTAACCCAAAGTACTCACTACTCACTACGCGCTACTCAGTGCCCACACTTCACTACTCGCTTCTCACTACTCACTTCCCACTACTCACTTCTCACGTCTCACTACTCACTACCCACGACTCACTACCCACAACTCACTACTCACTACTCCCTACTCCCTACTCACTCCTCACTCCCCACTACTCACTACTCAATACCCACTACACACTACTCACTAGTCACTAAACACAACTCACGACCCACGAATCACAAATCACTACCCACTAACCACTATCCATTACTCACTACTCACACTTCACTACTCACTACTCCCTGCCCACAATTCACTACTCACTATCCACTACTCGATACTCGCTACTCCCTACTCCATACACAGTGCTCACTACTCACTGCTCACTAGTCGCTGCTCCCTACGCCCTACTCGCTACCCAATACGCACCATTCACTGCCCACTACTCACCACTCACTACGCTCCCACCACTCACTACTCACTACTACCTACTCCCCACTTACTTTACTCACTACTCACTCCTCCCTTCTCACTACTCACAACTCATGTATCACTACTCGCTACTCCCTACTCGCTACGCACTACACCCTACTCACTAGTGACTCCTGACTACTCCCTCCTCACTACTCACTACTCACAACGCCCTACTCGCTACTCGCTACTACACGGTACTCCCTACTCGCTAGCCGCTACTCGCTACTCACCACCCACTACTCACTTATCCCTGCTCACTGCGCACCACTCACTACGCACTACTCCTTCCCCGCTATTCGCTACTGCCTACCCCCTCATCCCTACTCCCTGCTTACTACTCACTATACACTACTCACTACACACTACTCACTCCTCCCTACTCACAACTCCTTATTCACTACTTCCTTCCCGCCACTCACTACCAACTACTCACTACTCACTACTCTCTAATCTCTACGCGCTACCGGCTACTACCACTACCCATTACTCATTACTCACTACTCACCACTCACGACTCACTGCGCACTACTCACTATCAAATACCCAATGCTCACCAATCGTGACTCAAAACACTCTACTCCCTACTCACTACCCGAAAAGGCCCCCACCCCAGCCCCCTGTTCGGCGCAAAAAAGGGGGAGGGGGGAGGGGGGTCTCGAACCCCCCCCCCACTTTCCAGCGCCACGAGGGGGAGGAGGGGGGGATCTGGAACACCCCCCCCCCTTCAAGGGGAGGAGGGGGGGCGGGTTCGGACCCTTCCCCTTAAGGGGGGGCGGGGGGGGAGAGTTCGAACATCTCACCCCCCCTTTGAAAGGGGGCAGGGCGGTGGGGTTCTGCGAGCACCCCCTCCTTTTGTGTATTCAGGGCCATCCACTGGCGCGCTTTCCTGAAATAGCATAACAGAGCAGAAACATCCTCATAAACTGCTGGAGGTGTCCTCGGCGCGGTCGGTAAGAACAAGAACCCCACCCTTTGCATATAAGAAACAATATCCCCTTCCTTTGGATATGGGAAATAACAAGAAAACATCCTTTGGATACGGGGAACAAAAATGACTTTCAACAGCGAGGTGGACAAACACAATTGATGAATTGACGCGCTCGCGCTTGTCTACCCAGGGGGGAACAAAAACGAGGGCGACCAGAACCATGCTCTTCACACAAGCTGTATCATCCAAAAGCATGTTCGCCCCGGCCTCCCGCGCCAGAGCAATTTCTTGTTAGAAATCGCGGCAACGCCCGTGACCGGCCCCGCCCCCCTCCAACCCCTCCCCGTTCACGTCACGATTCGCGCCGGCCCCGTGTGGGAATTAACCAGTCTTATGCGTTCCCAGTCGGCGCTGGCGCGAATCGTGACGTGACTGGCCCTGTCCCACCCCTGGTCATGCCCCTTACCGCCAAGGGATACAGAATGATATAGAAGCCTCCAAGATGGGGTCCGAGCACATGGAGTCGGAGGATCGCGCCGCATCGCCGATACATCGGCGATGCATCGCAGATGCATGGGCGACGCCTGTGATGCATCGGCGCCGTCGGCGTGGAGAGACTCGGGCTCCACATCGAGCCGCATCGCCGACGCATCGGCAATGCAGCGCGATCCTTCCACCCAATCTGGGGGAGGCCTGGAGGATACAAGCGCGGTCCCAAACTTCTTGGCGACACGCACGTCCCTACCCGCTGCCGCAGGCCGATCTTCACCTCGAGGCTATGCCCTGACGGTCCCGGGGCCTGGCGGGGGCCCCCACAGCAGGAGGAGGAGGAGGAGGAGGAAGGAGGAGGAGGAAGGAGGAGGAGCAGGAGGAGGAGGAGGAGGAGGAGGAGGAGCAGGAGGAGAAGGAGGAGGAGGAGGAGGAGGAGGACAGACAGCCTCCCGCCTTGGTTCTCCCGCGGCGCCGCGGGGCGCAGCAGCCGGGACGCCGGAGGTCCGCGTGCGCTCTCTCTCGCTGCCGGAAGCGCCCGAGGAGCGAGGGAGGCAGACGCGGAGGAGGACGACCGAGGGCCGAGGACGAGGATCTCCAGAGGATCCCGGATCGACGACGAGGAGGAGCCAGGAGGATCGAGGAGGAGGAGGAGGATCGGATCGGTCCCGACCATCTTGGCGACCTCCGGGCCTGGTAGAAGCTCGGCGCGGTCCAGCCCCGCCGCCGGCACAGCTCGCAGGCGCGCTCCACCTCTCGAGGGCACGCCGCTCTTCGCCGCCCTTCGCCACCGTCGCGCCCGCCTCCGCCCTCTCGACCGTGGGAAGGCGACAGGTTCTCTTCGGGTCGTCCAAGGAGGGAGGGGGGCGCCCAAGAGGGGGGCTCGCACATCATGGCCCCGGGCATGTGTGTGCGCGGACGAGGGGGGGCCAGGCGACGTATTGAAACAAAGAAGACGAGGAGACTACAGTGGAGGCTATGTCCACAAGAAACCTGTCACAAGAAACCCAACCCTGAACCCCCAGGACGTCCTTTGGTTTTTGTTGTGGGAACGTCGCGCTGTCCAGCGCAAACACCATCGAAACCCAAGAAACCCAGCGCACCCTGGAGGCAAGCAGGGTGTTCCTTGGCATGGGTCTCCACTGTATGAGATCTGGGGAGGCATCATGGCCCCCCATCATGGCATCGCCCCCCCCTACGGCAGGTTCGTGTCGTGTCGACCCCGGCGTTGGTTTTTGACACCGCAGGGATCGTTCAACCTTGAACGATCGGCCATTTCCGCGACGTCCAATCGTTCAACATCGACCGATTCTGGGCCGCCGCCGGCGTTCAACCTTGAACGCCCGCGCTGGGGTCGCCGCCGGTCGACACGACGCAAACCTACCGTATTCAGCACCCCTCGCTTGGCAGTTTTCGTTGGTATGTTTGTCTACTATTCTATCAGGATATACTCTTTGAATGTTGTCCAATAATGTCAATATGAGTTCTTTATAACTCGTGGATTTATCCCAGTAGGGTTTCAATCTCTCGGCGATACCATAATGAGAGAAAGTGCATCATGGCCCCCCATCATGGCATCGCCCCCCCCTATTCAGCACCCCTCGCTTGGGCGCCCCCGATTTTTCTGGTCTGCGGCGGGCTGGATCCAGCAGGCGGGTCGGCTGTCGGCGGGTCTGCGTCGGGAGCAAAACGGGGCACAGCGGGGGGGGGGGCAGAGGGGGAGGAAGGCAAGCTACACCCTGCGGAATGCTTGAGAAATCATGGGTTAAGAGATTCATAGTCTCGGAACTTGAATTAAAGCCCAACATTTCTATTAAAATCTTGGGGTTTACAGTGAAACATTAAGAATAATCGAGACGCTGGTCGAAAACTTAAGTTTTCTTAAGCATCGCCTAAGGTGTAGGTGCGCTCGGGTCATATCTGACGTCCTACCCTTCCCTCCCATCCCTTACCATGGCGTCGATATCCTTCATAGTCGCACAGTCGGATGTCGAGCCAGGCAGTGATCGCGAGAAGGTGCACGATGCATGGTAGAGCACGGCATGGTATGGCGTAGAAGAGCACGGCAGAGCGTAGCATTCCATAGCATGGCGTGGCACTGCGCAGTGAAGCATTGCATCACAAAGCATTGCAACGTAAAGCATGGCATCGCACAGCGGCGCAGAGCACAACACCGTACAGCATGTCATGGCATGGCGCCAGGTTCTTTGGAGGGTACGTGGATCGTCTTCGAGGTCTGGGCCGGTCTGGAGTCGTGGCTCCTAGCTCCTCAGGCTCCCCGAAAAGCTCCACAGAAGGCGGGGCTGATGGATAGCACCCGCTGGCTCTGCTTTCAACATCGCCTTCTCAAAGCAGAAACGGGGCTCCCGCATGATACTTCCTGAGAGCGACGACGCCCCAAAGTAGTGGAGGGGAAAACGGCCCAAAAAATCAACGAATCGACACCGAATGTGGAATCATTTCCGATGGTTTTTTCGGGGGGCCATTTTCTAGATTCTGGGGCCTATTTGGAAGGAAAGCCAACGCTGCAGCGGGAGCACGATTCGGAACGAGCGGAAGCGCGGAAATGAGGCCAACGCCGCAGCGGGAGTACGGTTCGGAACGAACGGAAGCCCGAAAATGATGTCAGCGAGTCAGCGGGAACAACATTTTGAAACAAAAACAACAAAAACCCAATTCCCGGGAATCCTGAGAAAAAAATGTACGCGGAGGGGGGCCGGATAGGGATATCTCCCGTCACCTGAAAAACACCAGCTACGGCAAACCTATGGTGTTGGGATTCCGGCCAATCTGGGGGCTCCAGGGCCCTACTGCTCACCGGGTCCCCTTGACTGGGGTCCTGGCTATACCCGCGAAGCAGGGGAGGAGGAGGAGGAGGAGGAGGAGGAGGAGGAGGAGGAGGAGGAGGAGGAGGAGGAGACCAGCCTCCACAGCGTGCAGCCGTGGAGGGCCGCGAGGCGGCCGCGAGCGCCCTCGGAGAGGGGAGCTCTCTCTTCGGAGGCGCCAGGTGTCGGGCGCACGTGCTCGACGCTGTCCGTACGGGCGCAGGCACACTGCAGGTCCAGGGGGTGGGGCCCGCCAGGGGCGGAAGATATTGGAGGGGCCCTATGACACACAAATAATCCTGATCGGGCAAGAACGGGAAGCGCCGCTTTGGTCTAATGGGCGCATTGGGCGAAGAAGAAAAGGAAGGCGAGGGCAAGGAGGAATCGATGACGAGGACGACGTGGCGAACTTGAGGATAGCGAGGAGGAGCATGAGGACAACGAGGAGGAAGAGAAGCACAAGGACGAGGACGAAGAGAACGAGTGCGAGTACGAGAAGGAATGCGGGTGGGGACGCGAGAATCGGAAGATATTGGAGGGGCCCTGGGACACACAAACAAATCCGCCGGCCCCTCGTGGGGCCGCCAAGCTGTAGGCCAGAGGTTCGCAGCTTCCAGTGCCGGTTGCAGCTTCCAGTTTCCGCTGTTACAGTTCTGCTTCTTGCTGCTTACTGTTCCTTGCTGATTTCTTGCTGCTTACTGTTCCTTGTTGATGGACCGCGCGAGGGGGGGAGGCCCAAAAACGGACATTTTTACAATGGAGAAATCGTATTGTCTGAATTCCTGGGGCGGGTAAAAATTAACACCCCTCACGCAGGTCGGCGGGGTCAGGGTCCAAAAACATTTGGGATATGCCACATTTCTGAAATTCGGTGGCACCCCTCACGCAGATCGGCGGGGTCAGTGTCCAAAAACACATGGGATTTGCCACATTTCTGAAATTCGGTGGCAACCCTCACACAGATCCGTAGGGTCAGGGTCCAAAAACACATGGGATTTGCTACATTTCTGACATTCGGTGGCACCCCTCACGAAGATCGGCGGGGTCAGGGTGCAAAAACACATGGGATTTGCCACATTGCTGACATTCGGTGGCACTCCTCATGCAGATCGGCGGGGTCAGTGTCCAAAAACACAAAAGGGATTTGCCACATTTCTGATATTCGGTGGCACCCCTCACGCAGATCGGCGGGGTCTGGGTGCAAAAACAAATGGGATTTGCCACATTTCTGACTGACATTCGGTGGTACCCCTCACGCAGATCGGCGGGGTCAGGGTCCAAAAACATGGGATTTGCCACATTCCTGGAATTCGGTGGCACCCCTCACGCAGATCGGCAGGGTCAGGGTCCAAGACACATAGGGGATTTGCCACATTTCTGAAATTCGGTGGCACCCCTCACACAGATCCGTAGGGTCAGGGTCCAAAAACCCAGGGAATGTTGCCACATTTCTGAAATCCATACAGCGGCGAGTACAATAATAGACTTGCAATCTCAATTTGTCTTGCCAATTACCCATCGTCTTCGCATGAAGTTCCGACGCTGCTTCACGGTGAAGCCAAAGCCTCCTGACTTCGCTCTTCCATGGCCCATTCTCCGAGAGAGGGGGCCGGCGGCAGGGGGCGAAGCCCTTACGGATACACACAAATAACAGGATTCCGCATATTTTCCTATATTCTCTGGGTTTCTGTCTTCCCCCCCACTTCCCACCATATTTTTCCACATTGTCCGGGGGAATCGAGGATTCATTGTGTCTGTGTGTATTTTCCGTCCTGGAAACTGCAGATCCAGGGGGTGGGGATGATGAGTCGCGCGAGAGTGGAAACACATGCCATTGGGGAGAGCGACGCCACGTCGCAAGGGCGCAATTCCGGGATCGGAACCAAAGCAAGGAAGGGCAGCGGGTGGCACCGGTCAGGTAAGTCATGCTTTGCGGCGGCTGAGGTCAACGCCGGCGGACGACGGCGAGCCCCTGCAGGAACAAGATCCGTCTCCAGACACGCGGATGCTCTAGGGGCCAACTTGCAAACCACAGATTCAGGGCCACCACCCCTGCCCCACTTTCCAACGTGGTGTGTAAACTACGGCGAATGATCGATCCAATGAGTGTGAACCATGGCGTGACAGGTTTTGCTCTCCGTCCCCACTCGGGCCGGACGAAAGGGGGGGGGAGGAGGAGGAGGAGGAGGAGGAGGAGGAGGAGGAGGAGGAGGAGGAGGAGGAGGAGGAGGAGGAGGAGGCGGAGGGGGGAAGGGAGCCTGCGACTCAGCTCGCGCAGCGGGCCGCCCCGCCGCCGCCGATGCGTGTCGGGGAAAGGCGCCCTGCGGCGGGGGCCGAAGCCAGCTGTGTGCGGCAGAACCCCGCCTTGCCGCCCCCCCGTTCCGTCTGGCCCGCACCGCGCGAGCACGGGTGCAGGTGCAGAAGCCATGTTTGGACGCCCGAGTCATCCGGGGTAACTCGGGTCCGGGGTAACTCGGGTTTGGGTTCCCGAAGAACGAACCCGAATTAGCCCTGACCCGAGTTACCCCTGATGATTCGGGGCTCTGACATGTGACAGCCTTTGGCGTGGCGCAGAAAACAGCGCGCATCACGACTGCGAAGCAGGGAACCGACGCGCCCCACGTGAGCCCCGCAGTCTTCAAATCTTGAAGTATCTGCTGTCGAGGGTCGCCCCGCGCCGATGTGACGCCGAGACGGTAGGTTTTTGAGGGACCTGCGCATTTCTTCCTTTTCGGCCTTCCGACGGCCCGAGACAGCCCAAGAGCCCCCAAAGATCGCCCCAAGATCACCCAAGAGGCCTCCAAGATGGCCCCAAAATGGCACAAGAGGCCCCCAAGGCAGCCCACGAGGCCTCCAAGACGCCCAAGATTGCCTCCCAAGACGGCTTTCCGACGGCGTCAGACGGGCCAGGAACGCCCTACGACGGCCAAAGTAGCCCCCGAGAAGCTGAGAAGCCCTCAAAAGGCCCCCAACAGGCCCAAGGAGGCCCCCGAGATGCCTCCAAGAAGCTCCCAGGAAGCTCCCTGGAGGCCCCAAGCGTGCCCCCAGAGGCTCCAAGATGCCTCCTTCTCATCCTCCTCCTCCTCCTCCTCCTCCTCCTCCTGATCTCCCTCGCTATCCTATCCCAAGTGTTCCGGCTTGGAGATCACATGGTGCGATAGCTTGGCCGAGCTCTTGTCACAACGCTCGGTCACATGACATCATGGGCCATTCCCGAAGGCAGGGGGCGACGGTGATTCGCCGTAGGCGTCTTCGATTGATCACCACCGACGAGAAGGTCCGAGAGACCTCCAAAGATCGCTCCTGGAGCGCTCAAGAGACCTCCAAGATGGCCCCTGGACGGCCCAAGAGGCCCCCAAGACGGCCCAGAGGGGGGCCCGAGACGGCACAGGAGGACTCCATGACGCCCAAGATGGCCTCCAAGACGGCCCTGAAGCGCCCCAAGAGGGCCCCACGACGGTCCAGAAAGGACCCCAAGACGGCTCCCCACGGCGTCGGACGGGCCCGGGAAGCCCAGACGACCAAAGAGGTCCCCCTAGCAAGCACCCAAAGTCCCCCAAGAGGCTACAAAGGAGACCCCCAGAAGGCCTCCGAGAGGCTCCCAGGAAGCTCCCAGGAGACCCCAAGAGTGCTCCAAGAGGCTCCAAGAGGTCTACCCCTCCTTCCTCTCCTTCTCCTCTTCCTCCTAGTCCTCCTCCTCCTCCTCCTCCTCCTCCTCCTACTCCCTTTCCTCCTTCTCCTTCTTCCCCTCTTCCTCATGTGTTCCCCGAAGGGTTCGAACGACGGTTGGGGAAACGCATGGTGTGATAGCGTGGGCAAGCTCTAGCCCAAAGTTCGGCCACATAGGGGCTTCCGAAATGACAGGGGGCGTGGCAGAGGGTGATTCGCCGTATGCGTCTTCGATCACCAACGGCACAACGAACAGCAGGTGCCACCACAGGCGCTCGCAGCTCGCGAACGCAAGTGCGCAACTGTCTGAATTGGACACTTCCGTCGGGGGACACCTGGAACCCAAGGCGAAACTGTCTGGCCGCTGCGCGCATGCCGTGTGAGCGCTCTCGGAGATCAATCAAAACCTTGACCATCGACCGCACCCAGCGAGTCCCTGCTATGCCTATGCAGCTTCTGAGCCTTCCGAGTGCGTCAAAACACGCATACGGCGGCCCCGAGGGGCTGTCGTTGCGGCGGGGAGGAGGCAGGAGGATCGGGAAGGAAGGAGGGTGGGGGGACACCAATGTACTGATATTTGTTCTATTATATGGACTTCTCCAGGGGTGCGGTCTGACAAGAGTATTGAGGCGAAGCCAACCGTGTGGCGGTGAGGGCGGTATCGGTATATTATCCTCTTCTGCGAGGGAGGGGACGGAGGACCTCAAGGGCGCGGTAGTTGCTCATTCCGAGCTGCTTTACCTTGCCCTCCAGGATCAGCTCGTGTACGCAGCTCAGCGACTCCGACAGGTCATGCTCGGGGTCTGGCTGGTGCAGGTAGAGGACGTCAACCTTTTCCACGCCGAGAGCGTCCATCGAGTCCTCACAAAACGAACACCGTGATCGGGACAAAATCGGACCGGGATAAATCGGGGATTTCTGAGACCTGGCGGTTCCGGAGGATGTAGCGGGCGCCGCAGCCGTTTCAGAGCGCTGTGGGCGCTGGAATGATTTATCCCAGTCCTGCTCCCCTCCCTGGTGCGCGGAGAGCGCTAGGGGCGGCGCTGGAGGCGCTGCCAAGGACGCCCAACGCCTAACCGAGAAATCTGCGCGGAGCTCCAGAAGGTTATGTTTGTGCAGATTTACTGTTCCTAGGCTCCAAGGAACAACACAAACTTTCTCCCCCTCTCCGACCACGAGGGGCGACTCTACTGGGTGCCAGCTCAGCGGGGGAAGCATCAATCTGGAATCGCCGATACGTCGTCGACAGATCGGCGATAGGCCCCTGATAGCGAATCCGCACGTTCCTGTGGTGATTCTCGTCGTCCGGTTTGGGGGACATAGCTCGGGTCTCCAGTGGCCTTTTAGGACGATCCGGGCACCCCTGGGATGCTCTTGGCGAGGCACAGCCGCGCTGGGGGTCGAAAACCGTCGAGGACCTGCGGGTTCGTCTGACAAGCTGCGTCCCCGAAGCCAAAGAAGGCGAGTCCAAGGGAGGGGTTCGCAAACCATGGCTCGAGGTGCGTGCGCGGCCCAGGGGGGGCGCCAGGGAATGCACTAAAACAGAAGGGGCCGTGGACTCCGAGGAGATGTCGTGGCCCCGGGACCCACCCCTCTAGTCATCACCCCCCGCGTGGCTGCCCCCGATCAACCTATCCCCTCCAACTGGTAACGCTGCCCCTGAGAGCTCTGTTTGGTCTCCGGCGAGCTGGGCCCAACAAGCGGCCCAGCAGATGGCGGGACGCATCCGTTGCGAACTGAAGCACGACAGTACAGGCGGACGACAGGCGAGAAGCAGCAAGGCCCTGGGAACGCTGAGAACCCTCAGATCGGGTGGACCTCCATGATGTGCCTGGGAGGAGGCTCGCACTCACGACACAGCCAGTCGAGGAAGGCAAAATTTCGTAAACGTAGACTGTTGGAGGTCCGCGAAGATTTCTTGGGTCTGCGCTGAAACCCCGTGCGGCGCTGGAGGCGCGGCCAGAAAAGGCCCCATCGCACATCCAAGAAATCCAAGCGGGGCGTCGAAAATCTATGCTCATGCAGTGTTTTGTCCTTCGACTTCAGGATGTCCCTGTTGGCGGCGCGCACAAGGGGGTAGGGGGAGATGGAAGGCTTCTTGGATGGAGGCTGCTTCTAAGAAGCCCTCCCCCCTCCCCCCCCCCTCCCCCTCCTGCGCGTGGCCGAGCCTGGGACCAAGCTCGCACTCGACAGACGGAACGGCCAGAGATCAACGCTGCCCCCGAGAATGCCCGGGGCAAGGGACTGGCCATCGCTCGGACGTCCGTTTCCTGTGATTATCTCATTCTCTCGGCTTCGCGCGTGGTTTTTTCGCCAGATGGTCGAGGAGGCTCCTCGATTGTCCTAGCCGAAGAAAGAAGGCACACGTCCGAGCGATGCCAAGAGGGAGGGGCGAGTCCTGCAGCTGCCCGCGGATGCCCGCCGCGGAGAGGCCCCCGGGCTGCGAGGGGTGCGCCTTGGTCGCGAGGCGGCAGCCGGCGGCCGCAACCTCCAACGGGGGGGTCATGGCGACCCTAAGTCTCCAAGCAGCCCTGCTTGCCAGCCTCGAACGTATCCCTATCCCTAAGATTGACACGCCGAAAGGCGATGACATTCTTAGGGTTCCGCCCTCAAAAAATTCGCCGGCCCAACGGGCCAGGGCGTGCTAAGATCTCCGGTACCTGGTTAACAGTATTTCTAGTTCGCGCGCGCGGGGCGGCCCCTGGGGGTCCCCGGACGAAAAGTACCCCGGCAAGGTCGGGCCAGAGATGCCGGAGTTCTGTTTCGGAGTCCAAGAGGGCTCCAGATCGGTCCAAGAGGGCCCCGAGAAGCTTTCTAGACGGTCCAAGAGAAGCCCGAGACGGCCAAAGATCGCCCGAAGACGCCCCAGATGGCCCCAAGACAGCCCAAGAGGCCTCCAAGACGCTCCAAGGGCCTTCCAAGAGGCCTCCGAAGAGGGCCCCAAGTTGCCAAAATCGTTGATTTTCATTTGTTTTTTCTATGTTTTTTTGCGTTCTGGCCTTTTCGCTTCCGGACGCTCCAAGAGGGCCCAAGAGGCCTTCAAGACTGCTCCAAGACGGCCCACGAGGCTCCCAAGACGGCCCCGGAGCGGCCCAAGAGCGCCCCCCAGACGGCCCAAGTGCTGCCCAAGGCGGACCAAGAGGCCCCAAGACGGGCCCAAGAGGGGCTCAAGAAGGGAACCGAGAACTGAAAAATCGAGCCCTCCGCCCCAGAAGGCGCCCAGGACCCCGAAAGAGGCCCCAAGAGACTCTCCAAGACACCCCCAAGACGCCCCAATAAGCTCCCGTGAGGCCCCAAGAGGACCAACAACGTCAGGCCCCAGGCCCCAAGAGGACCAACAAATACCGCCAAGAGCCCGCCGAAAGCCCCCCAAGAGACCGTCACGAGAGCTCAGGAGGCCCCCTGGAGGCCTCCCGAGTTCTCCAAGAGGCCTAAAAAGAGGCGCCAAGAGGCCCCAAACGGCCCCACCGAGGCTCCAAGAGGCCACGAACGCGCAAGCAAACGCCTGCGATGGCACAATACGGGCCGGCGGAATGAGCGAAGCGATTAAATAAGGGAATCCCTAAGATTGGCATCGTGATGAGGAGATGCCCAGCATAGGGATAGGGATATGTTCCAGGCTGGCAACTTGCCTCTATCAAGGGAGCGGCTCACCGAAACCGTGCCCGAAGGTCCGACAAAAAAAGTGGCCGGAACTGGCGCCCGATTCTGGCCGGACGCGCCTGAGTGTGACCAGGAAGTCGTGGTTCGAGCCCACAGCGGTGTTGAGTGTCGGTCACAATGCTGGTCACAATACGCTATCGGTTACATGCTGTTTCGGCTGACAGGGGCTGGGCGCCATGACCATCCCAGTGGACTTCCCAATGGATCAAACATTTGAGGCCAAGCTCTAGTGAAACTCGGGGATTGGGGGCGACGAATCGCCTGCGAACCTCGGGCTCGCGGAGCACGCCGCCCAGGATCTTCTCGGTGTCCCCCCCCGAGTAGATGCGCGCGGTGTCCACCTCCTCGGGAGAAGGTGTAGGAGGCTGAGACTAGGCCAGGACAGGGACAACATCGGACAAAGATGCATCGTGAACCTCTGAGATCTGGCGATTCTGGAGGATGTTTTGGGCGCCGCGGCCTCCTCAGAGCGTTCTGGAAAGCTCTGAGAGCGTTCCGGAGCGTCATGGAACGATTTATCCTTGTCCTAGGCCCGCCCGAAGGAAGCAATTCCTGGAGGTCTTCGTAGAAACGATTAGCGGCTGTTGAGGCTGACCAAGGGGAAACTAAGCCACACCAGCCCAGATTAAGCACAGGATGGAGCCTGATTAAGCATGAGAAAGCGGGATTCAACCATATTCGCGGGATGATGCCAGATGACGCCTGTTTGAGGCCACGGATATGCCAGCGCCGATGCTAAATTTGGCCTCCCAGGAGTTGCATCCTAAGTAGATGCGCGCGGTGTCTACCTCCTTGTGCGAATAGATGGGCAAAACACCTGCTCTCCGAAGATGTATCTGTATGCTGCTTTTCTTTTTCGAGCGATGTGCCACGGTGCCTTCAGCACGCAGTGGAATGCCCCAGAGGCGTACACACAATGTGCTGTAGGTGCTTAAGGGACTGTAAGATGTTCGAATAACCAAAGGCTGCAATTTGGCATAATAAGCCGGGCGCTTCCAGCGTCTGCCAGGAGGGCCACTGGGAAACCAAGCTGGTGCCGTATCGAACTCGAAAGAGAATGGGCACTACTCAACGAAAGCATGCCTCCCTGACGCCAATACCATACCTTCACCATCACTCCACAAGGACCTATCGCGAAGACCAACAGACCACTACCACCACCACAACGGCCCATCACCACCAACGGTGTGTTTGGAAGGATCGACATTTTTCAATCCTGGGGGTGTCGAAACCTCACCTTCTCGGGGCCTGCGTGTGGCTCCACGACCTTCTAAAACTGACCTCGGATAAGCAATAGCGTAAACGTAAATGCTCCGAGGTCCGCGCGAACTTCTTGCATCGGCGCTGGACCCCCTCCTTCCCTGGCACGCGAAGCGCCACAGGCGGCGCCGAAGGCGCCGCCAGGGGGCCCAACGCCGATCCAAGAATATCCGCGTGGCGCTCCGAAAATTCATTATCCTGCAACTTGTCTTATCGGGGATGGGCAGACCTCCCTTTAGTAAAACGTGGTTTAGTGAAAACGACCTGAGGCCCAAACCTGGCGGGCGCAAGCCTGAAAAATAACGGCCGCGGCGCCCTCTCGAGAACCGAAAACGGACAATTCACTAATCGACGTGTCACTGCTGGGGGTTCTGTCCCGATCCTAAAGAAGAACTCGCCCTGGCGCCCCCGGGCAAGCGGTCGGGACCTAAGCGGACTGGCGGATTGAAAAAACAATCCGTCGGAAGTCTGGATACATATTGTGCCCACCCATCGGTGGCTGTGGCTTCCAGCCCTTGCTGGAGCCGATCTACCCCCGAGACTCTGGGCCCAAGATTCGCCTGGGTAGGCCTGGTGGCGGATACGCTCCCTCTCCGAAATGTTCGGGCGAAGTGCCTGCGAGGCACGAGTTGGAGTGACCCCAGGTCCCTTGC